ACCGGGGGCTTCAATTGGACACTATTTTTAAACTAGCCGAGCGACACATTTGAGAGAATGTAATGAGATGATTCAAAATTGCTTGATAAATCGGTTTGTCCGTTTCAAACGTTTTCTCTTGTCCACGTAAAAGCAAAGCTCTGCTAAGTTATGAGGTTCAAAGTCTGTAGAAAACATAACAGACGTATTCTACTACACCCCGAAATTAAAATTCTGAATCCGTAAAATACCAAAATGTGGACTCTTTAAATAAGTGACCAATTATCTAAATTGTTGTTGGTTAAATTTGTGGCTGCCACATCATCATAAAATCCTTATAGTACTATTGTGTTATTTACCAGGATGAGGGCCAGGTACAGTTATGTGATGCATCTTCCTTTTAAAGGGCCTTTTACTGAAGCTCACACTGGTCTGTAAGTTGCCTTGTGAGAGTTCCCTGGGATACAAATTGTATTTTCATCCTTATCAAAATAAATACTAAGAGGTCAAAAAGGATATATTGCCATTTTTTTTAAATTCCTTCCGTGCTTCTAAAAACAAAACAACCCCAAAATGATCCCGTACTCTAAACAGTGTGGTAACGTAATAAACTGCTGAAACTGGACTCACAGACAAGAAGATGTTGATAAGACCTCCTGTCTAAGTGATCTGTCACATCCTGATAAATATGACTGACTTCTCTTCCCGTATCATTTTCAGATTTCCTTTACCTATATGAGTCTATTTTAAGACAACAGTAATATCATAAATATTTCTGATTTCTTCTAGGGATCCATTTGCGGCTCACAGGCAGCAGATGAGTCTGTTTCAACCATTTGCCATGGACCCTTTTGCTCTTGCCCCCCAGATGCAGCCACATCGTGCACCACGTAGACAGGTAACCTGCTGCTATGTTGGTGGATTGTATTCATGTGTTTTGTGAATTAATCACATTAGTTAAACAATTTCAACTGATTTTACAATTGTTGCACACTTTCTTCTAGGCTGGTCCACTGGCCCCCTTCGGTATGATGGGAATGGTGAGTAGTTGACCTCCTATAACTGCAGGAAGTCTAGTCATGTTTACAAATATTTCTGATAACAGAGCTTAACAAGGATATTCTACAAATGAAGAACAAGTCTCCAATTTTATCTTTGTTATTCTGGTTTATGGAAATAATACAGATATTAGCACGCTGTAATAAAACCTCAAACAAGGTCAACATGGAACTTAAAGAGTTTTAAATTTAACTTGTTGGAAACTGCAGAAACGCCATTAAAAGGTCTCATTTAATTTTCAGGGTGGTGGATTCATGGATATGTTTGGCATGATGGGAGAAATGATGGAAAACGTGGTGAGTGAGTTTTGTCACATAAGCAGACGTAATTACCCTCATGACTGAAACCTGTAATTCATCAGTACTCCGTCTCACCGTGTTGTTTGTTTTTTTATTTTCTTCTAGGAAAGAATGACCGGTACACCAAACTGTCAGACATTTTCCTCTTCAACAGTGATCTCCTACTCCTCGTCAGATATAGGGGCTCCTAAAGTTTATCAGCAGACCCATGCAACGAGAACAGGCCCTGGAGGGGTGAGAATAACTTCAGTAACTTAAGAGAGTTCAAATCAACAGAATGTATGTCGGTAGTGATTGTTACTTTCCCCATTGATATGGGACAGTTGTGCATTGTTTGTCCAGACATGACTTTGACATTCTCGCTTCATTAACACATGAAATGATCAGAACTTGTAGTGACAGTAAATAGATCATGTACAGTATAAACATCATAGTTGGAATAGAAACACTTCAGAGAGAGTTCACCCAGAGTGCAGAGTATCCTGCTTGTTTTAGTAAACTGAGCTGCCCCCCCCTCATCTCAGATCCGTGAGACGCGGCAGTCTGTGAGGGACAGTGAGAGCGGCTTGGAGCGCCTCGCCATTGGCCATCACATCGGCCCCCGTGCACACATAATGGAGCGTTCGCGAAATCGCCGCACAGGAGACCGCGAGGAACGGCAAGACTTCATCAACCTTGATGAAAGTGAGTCTTTCAGGAGGAAACGATCAGTTTATGATTGTTCGTGATTACTGTTCTCAGCTCAACTTCGAATACCAAAGAGAGTAAAAACAAAAACAGCTACAATAACATAAGATGTGTGTTACTTACCAACCTCCCCTACATTCCTACTAGGTGATGCTGCAGCGTTTGATGATGAGTGGAGGAGGGAGGCAGGAAGGTACGTCCCCCCGAACGCCCGGGCGCTGGAGTATGGCCGAGATCGACGGGCAGGAGGCCAACAGCTGGCTCTTACTGCCCCTCCTAGCTCAACACCCCCACCAGGTCATCGGCATGAGTCCCCCAGACACCGTGAGCCCCAAACCCGCCCACGCTACGACTGGTGAGAAGGTAAGAAAAGATGTACAGGGCAAGTTGAGCTCATCACGTATATGTTCATGATTAATATTAACATATTGCAATACAGATATACCACTAATGCTCCACGGATTTATTTTTGTCAGTTTTAACCCTGAAAATAAGCACATGAATTATTGGATTTTTGATACACTGTAAGATAACTGTGATCTTTGAGGTTTACTGTATTTTTACACTGCAGGAGATAATTCTATTAAAATACTAAACAGTATTGGATTTGTGAAATTGTGTGATAAATAAATGTCCGGTTAATTAAGGCATCATGAGAAATGGAAGAAAATGTGCAAATAGTGACTCTTTAAATAGTTTGAGTGTCTTGCAGTTTCGCTACGAGAATGTATCTCTGAATATTTGTCATCAAAACATAAAATCTACTAACTCTCTAAATCAGCTGTTTTTGGAAGTGTCTCACCATGAAGGATCATAGACTGTATATAAAGATGGTCAACATGAATTCTGCTTCTCAAAAGTGAAGCCAAAGTGCTCTGAATGCCCCCTTGTGGCTGGCTGCAGGAGAGGTAATAGGTCCTGCCTCCTCCACGTTAGTGCATGTGAAATGGTGCAAACTTAAAAGTCAAAGTACACGCGGAATAGATTTTCAAACATGGCTTCTATCTATTTAAGTAGTTTCTATCACACTGATGTACTCTTCAAATTTTTCTGATTGGTTTGATTTTAATTTGTTATTTGATGCTATGAAAACGAGGTGAAATTTAAAGAATGACAGCTGAGTCTGATGTGTGATTGGTCGAGCATGTGTTGATGGGACCTCTCCCTCCAACACACACACTCTGACTCCAAACGTGGAGACAGGTCGTCAGTGTTTATATAGAGTCTGTTGTGTAGGAGCAGTATTTTGGACTGACCACCATGATTCGTGTCATAAAACAGAAGCCTCAGATATTTGATGAAGCCTTTTCTTCTTTTGTAATTTCCATATTTTCTAACACGCACTTCGTTGTCGTCCCTGCAGGCGTCACAATTGACGAGGTGACCAGAAATGGAGTTGAGGGAAGATTTCCCCGATGCTGTGAACCACGTTGAAGACGGAAGTTGATGATTGTCACAACTGGCTGTCGTAAATGTTTGATATGACTGGACTGTCTATATATAAACCACATATTTCACACACACACACATACACAAACACAAAACAACCCCCCCACACACACACTTGATAGTTCCATTTACAGTTCAACTTCTCTACTGTGACATACAAAAAACAGAAAACGTGGATCTCTTGTGCAAATTGGGAATAACTACACTCACTTTATATTATACTCATCCTCAAAACTTTCCATGTGTTTTTGCCCACTGCACGTACAAGTGCTACAGTATACAGTACATCTGCTGTACAGTCCATTTTATGTTCGTGAAGACACTAGTGTGTCGGTGAATTGAATTGTATACTGTTAACTAATTAATCTAACTAAATAAAAGTTCATTAAACATTGTTAGATAATTGCAAAATGTGTGTCTGTTGTGGTTGTGTTTGACGATTGCATGTCTTATATATTGACGTGTTTCATAAAAACAAATCTCACAAGCTTCAATGTCATGAATACGCATCAAAATCTGTAAATCTATGCTTTTTTTTAAGCCTCATAAAATGTATCGACACTTCTCGTTTATTTGAGTGTAATTTTGTGAGTTCTCAGAGACGCTGTGCCTTTTATATGTATTTCCACTGTGTCGTCTCTTCCCTGTTCCACTAGTCTGCAGGTCATGTGACATCTGGATAGAGAACACAAGTGGAGCAGCCGAAAATGCTCTTTTGACAAATCATTCCCACCGTGGGATCCCTGCCTGCCTCCTCCTGTGCTTACTGTTTCTTTAATTACATCCACACACTATTTTTAAATCCACATCCACCCTCACCAACCCCCAGCATGCACTGCTCCTCACACCTGTCTACCTGTCGTCTTGTCTGCTTTAATCCCCAACATTAGATCTTTGCAGTTCCTGACAAGGTGGCTCGGTTTGTGCGTCTTGCCTTTGCTGAGATGTATCCTCCTCTTTTCTTTTTTTTTTGATATCTTCTACCTGTCATCCACATCTGAAGCGTACAGATGTTCGTTTTTTATTCCTACAACAAACCCTCACTTCAGAGGCATGACAGCACTGCCTGAAATTGAGAGCAACCACATAATTACCTCTTCATATTGGCAATTTTCTGGGACAGTATTTGTCAGAGTAGTATATATACATATACTACTATGTATCAGGTGATATCCATACAGCAAATACTAACAAAAGACAATGTTGATGCAGATTTTGAAGCTGAGGTCTTTTTCAGCACATTTTAATTTCCTAAGTCATAAAATTGGAAAATGTGACCATTGCTATTCTGCTCTGTTCCTCCATCCTCCCTCTCCTCTCCAGCTTTGTTCCCTCCCCTCTGCATCTCCCAATGACTCACACGCTCCCCCTCCCCCCTGGCGTGTCATACGTTTTTTTTCACCCCATCTCCCACCTCCCCCGTCCCTCTACTTCTCCCTCTCTTTCGCCCACAGTCGCTCACTTCTCTCCAGAAGGCTTCAAAACACGCTGCAGGTAACATTTAAAAGGATTGATCTATTCCGCCATTCCCTCCATCACTCTCCACCTCCTCCCTCTTCTCCTGCCTGGTGTTTTCTCGCCATCTCATCTCTCCATTGGTGCACATTCTCAGTCACTGACTGAAACAGCACAGAAATTGAGGTGGCTTGTGGTCCGGAACAGGTTCACGGTAGATTCCTAAATAGGTATTGGTTATTAGCTTTTGATTTATGTTTCCTTCTCTTTCTGTGTGTGTGTGTGTGTGTGTGTGTGTGTATGTGTGCGTGACAGCATCTTTCCAGGGAGCATCTTTTCCACAGCTTTCCATCCCTAAGGCTGCGTCACTACCATCAGTGACGGAGAGAGTGTGAAGTCCTTGTGACTAATTTGAAAGGATGTTTTGAAGTATAAATATGTTTCCTTTTTTTTGTACAGGATGTCCATAGTGAGTATTGTTGCCAGGGAGATCCTGGACTCCAGAGGAAACCCCACTGTGGAAGTAGATCTCCACACAGGCAAAGGTTAAAAAAATAAATGCATCAGAAAGCATATTACTTGTGTTTTTGTCGAATTACCAGTTGTGTTTCGTGTTTATCGGCTTGACAATTCTGCCTTTCTCTTTTCCAACCTGTCCGTCCTCCTCCTCTTCCTCAACCTTTACCCTTCTGCCCTGTCAATCCTCTGCCCTCCAGGTCTGTTCAGGGCTGCTGTGCCCAGCGGTGCGTCCACCGGCATCTACGAGGCTCTGGAGCTCCGAGATGGAGACAAGACTCGCTACAAGGGCAAAGGTGAGGACTGAAAACAAGATGTCTCCTCTTTCCAGTTTCATGCTCTCTGTTTTTGCCTGTCACGGTCTCTTATTTTCCACTTTTATGGCATGAAAATGGACGTATTTATATATATCCTCCACTGTCCTGCTGTCTCAGGTGTAACAAAGGCTGTTGGTCACATCAATGACAGCCTTGGACCTGCCCTTGTCAAGTCGGTGAGTAAGAGAACAAATCTAAAGGAAAGTGGGAGGAAGAAGAGGATTAAAACGGTGAAATCTGGCTGCTTTGTTTCAGGGGGTCAGCGTGCTGGAGCAGGAGAAACTGGACAACTTGATGATTGAAATGGACGGCACTGATAACAAATGTAAGCCTCGTCCTGTCATGTCTTATGCATGTATGTGTGACAACATGTGTCTGCTCCAGTGAGTACCCGGTGCATACATGTGCTCTTGTGACTCATCTGTGTTCCCTTCAGCTAAGTTCGGGGCCAATGCTATTCTGGGAGTATCACTGGCCATATGCAAAGCTGGTGCTGCAGAGAAAGGTGTCCCCTTGTACCGCCACATTGCTGATCTGGCAGGGAACGGAGAGCTGGTCCTACCAGTTCCTGTGAGTCGTGTATTTATTTATTTCCTTTGTGCACAAATTCTTCAAAAGATGATATTCAAATAAATTTTCCTTCCTCATCCGCCCCATATTCAGGCATTTAATGTGATCAACGGAGGATCTCATGCTGGTAACAGACTGGCTATGCAGGAGTTCATGGTACTTCCTGTAGGGGCCGAGTCTTTCCGTGATGCTTTGCGTGTCGGGGCTGAGCTGTACCAGACTCTGAGAGGTGTGATCAAAGAGAAGTACGGCCAGGATGCTACAAATGTGGGAGATGAGGGAGGGTTTGCCCCAAATATACAGGAGAACAGTGAAGGTAAGAACAACCACCACACAGAATCCACTCCCTGATTCTTTTTCTCATAGCCTAAGGTGTTGTCTTATTTATTCCTGTGTCTCTGCGTCAGCCCTGGAGCTGATAAAGACGGCCATAGAGAAAGCAGGCTTCACAGACAAAGTGGTGATTGGGATGGATGTTGCTGCCTCAGAGTTTTTCATCGAGGGCAAGTACGACCTGGACTTCAAGTCTCCGCCCAACGCCGCCCGCAACATCAGCGGTGAGGAGCTGGCCAGCATCTACCAGGGCTTCATCAACAACTACCCAGGTGTGTGTTGTGATGTGTGTGGAGGGTCAAACTGATGGTGGCAATGCTGAGCTTTTATTGTCATCTGGAGAACATGATGTGGATAAATCCCATTCAGCAGAAACTATTGATCACTGACTGTCAGTGATCAAGCTTTTTCCCACATTTTCAAAGAGGTAGTGACACTCCTCCTCCTGACACTTGGTTTTGATTAAGAAGTCTTCATTATGCACATTTAAGAGGCTGTTTACCCTGTCAGTGGTGTGCTTCCTGCTTCTGTGAGCAATTGCATCATGGCATCACTCTGTTATGTACCTGCTCTGGTCTTAATGAGCCATTAGGCCATAATTTTACATGTTTGCACAAAAAGTGATGTCACCTATCCCCCCCTCCTTCAGTTGTGTCTATTGAGGATCCTTTCGATCAGGACGACTGGCCCGCTTGGTCCCAGTTCACAGCCTCAGTGGGCATCCAGGTAAGTGATGCAAAATGTGTAATGATATTTAAGAGTGTATTTCATGACACCAGACTACATGCCCTGAGTTAGTAATACAGTCTGAGATTCATGTGTAAATCTGGTGGCGTTCCCATTTTAATGTTATTGGGAGAGGAACAGAAATTTGGGAAAGTAGATTGACAACGAAGGTTAATACTTCCTGCACGTTACAGAACTGATACTGTTGCTGTGAGTGAGAAAACTCATTAATATGTGATGTGTTTGCAGGTGGTTGGAGACGATCTGACGGTCACTAACCCGCGCAGGATACAACGAGCCGTGGAGGATAAGGCCTGCAACTGCCTGCTGCTCAAAGTCAACCAGATTGGCTCTGTCACAGAGGCCATCAAGGCGTGAGTTGATTTTGTGTGTTTGATGCAGTAACACGTGGAAATGCTCCTGTCTGCATGTGTGAGCTTGTTATTTACTGCGTCCTCAGGTGTAAGCTGGCCCAGGAGAACGGCTGGGGTGTGATGGTGAGCCATCGCTCCGGAGAAACAGAGGACACTTTTATAGCTGACCTGGTGGTTGGTCTCTGCACTGGACAGGTAACAAGCACACACACACACACACACACACA